GACTTAAGAGGCTCTAGGTTTGAATTGATGAGAAAGCAGCTCACACACCCAGAGCATCTCCCCTTCAGCCATCACATTACAGGAGGCCTTGTCACACCTGGATGTTTTGAACTTTATCATTTGAGCCCTGTAAAAACAGGAACCAGTTTTTAGCACTACTGATCCCCGTTTGACCATCACATGAAAGTGGCGATGCCATTGTTTTCGGACCTTGGTTTAAAATGCAGCCGTTGAGCACTTCGTTATGAATAATAAGGCCGGTGCACCTCAGATCTTTCAGAAATTAGTATCGATTTTCAAAACGGTCAGTGTTGGGAATGTAGGCCGCAAGCACGTTGAAAGCATTGACCTGGGGCCGGTTGCACAAAACACCTTAAGTATGACACTTAAGGTTTAATTTCTCCTTAGCTAAGGGATTTATTTAAGGGTGTTGCACAGAACCCCTTAAAAGGTTTCCTTAGTTAAGGAAAAACATTAAGGGATTTACAACATTGAAAGACGTTTTACAGCAGTAAAATTGTCCCGTTTCCATGGAGACCGTTCATATGCTTGCACTCGCGTCTGCTTGTGATACCCGTTATCGCCTCACAAAGTTACTCACAAAGTAAAAAAATGGGAGAAAAGAAGACAAGAAAGCCAAATTGGTCAGCGGAGGAAAAGATTATACTTTTGGAGGAATACAATAAAAGAAAGAACATAATAAAAAGAAAATTTGATCCGCAAATAACAGCAAACAGAAAACAACGAATGTGGGAGGAAATTGCAATGAAAATTAATTCAAGAAGTCTACATTGTGCTACAACGTTAGTTATTTTATGTTCATGATTGCAAACTAACTGGACATTGATTGGATATTGATTTTTTTCTGTTAATAAATAGATTTTCATATTGAATGGGAGCTTAAATCCTGATGTGGGTCCCAGCTATCACCCCGCACACCCTTGGGAAGCCGGCTACATTAAAGAAGTGTGTCGCTATTTCACCTTCTTCTTGTTTAGAGGGGAATTTCACCAGGGTGTTCAACAGACGGGCAATGGCGTTTGAAATTCGGTGAATGACGCAGCACACCCTTTACTTGTGGACATGAGATACATCGCCTATTATAGCCCGGAAAGAGCCCATAGCATAAAACTCGCAGAGCAACGCAGCTGGGAGAGCACAGCTTCGGATTGTGGAGTGATCCAACTGTAGACAGTCGGACAAATCATAAATTGACTGCCGGTCAAATTTATAAAGGAAAATCAATTGCTCGTCATTAAGCGTATCTAAGGGATTCTCCCGGTCGCGGAACACTCTTTTTGGGATTCGTTCATTTTTGTTATTTATTATCATAAACTCGGCCATGTTACAGTTAAGCTACGTTTAGAGGTACCTTAATTTTTTTCCCTTAGTTTAGTTGCTAAGGTCTTTTGTGCAACCGTTATGGGATTCCTTAAGTATAAGACCAAGATAAGGAGAAAAACTTAAATACTTAAAAGAAAATGTTACAGAAACCTTAAGGAGGAGACTTAAGGGTGTTTTGTGCAAGCGACTTTATTTTAAGGAGACCTTAACTCGGACTTTAAGGAAAACCTTAACTTAAGGTGTTTTGTGCAACCGACCCCTGGTCTTTAAGTGCTTTTTCATGGGCACACAATGTCCTTCTCAGCAGGCCGCATTTCAAACACACAAATCACATGATCAGTTACGCCCAGCAGCAAAGAGAGTGGACCATTCGCATTTCTCCCCTTTCCCCTCACTTGCTTTAATGTATTTTCCCCTACATCGTGAACTATGGTATTGTGCAACTCACAAATAATAAAGTTTAATCACAGAAAGAATGAAACAGTGCACTTTAAAGGAAACCCATTTTTCATCACTGTCAAAAAAGCCCAGCAAATTTGCTTAGAGCAAATTTCTCTAGTCCTTCTTAAGAACTTCTTTTATTTGGCCAGGTGTTCTGTTTGGTCGTCTTTCAGGTGCACTGACCACATGGTAGCATCATCAACGACTGATAAAATGCCACTTTGAGCCATTAAAATAAAACCAAAAAGAAGAAATGCAGAAGATAATCATTTAATCTAAATGTGATTTGAAGGAAGAATATGGTATTACACTTCAGTGTAAAATAATCTCCCTTGATTGTGCAACAACGGCAGTAAATCATACCTATTGAGACCTTAACATTTATAATTACTTAATTTCAAAGAATTATATTCAACTCTTGTATAAACAAAAACTTGATTTTTATTTAAAACAGAGCGTTTGTTGCATATTGCTTTATAATTTAGAGCAATTTGCCAAATCACTGCCTTATATGCCAATTAAAACCAAACAAGAGCTATAATATACACACACCCACACACAGACACACACACATATGTGTGCTATGGATCACTGGTCGGGAAGCCTTTACCTCTGTATTATTTGTGAAATAGCAGTGAGGAGTGTGGGGAGGTGAGTAGACACATATAGTGTTTGTCACATACCTTTAGTAATGATGATGACGCGGTAGCATCTGTATGTTCAGGATGCGACAGATGGGACAGAAACATGAACTCTGTCATGAAGTGGGGCTGTCGGGCCCCGTGCCCTTCCATCTCCGAGATGGCCGCTGACACCCCGCATGCTCTTACCAAACGGTGGCGCGGCAATCCCAGGTGGCCTTTATCCTCTCCCCCGTTGTCCAGCATCTCTCAAGCGACAGGGATGACACGATGCAAAATGCTCGGGTGAGATTTATGACGGGTTCCTTGGGGGCCCAAAAAGGCCGCCCACTGGGCTTCGCTGACAGCTCAGGGAGATGATACCGAGCGGGTCGGGTCATTCGGTGCCGTATCTCTCCTGCCAGATGAGGGCTGCCTTAATGGGAAGGCAGAGCCAGCCCTGCTTGTTACCATGAATATGGTTATTCGATTTGTGTCCATGCATATGAAGTCGGAGAACGTTCCGCGTGTGCATCGACGTGTCTGTGCTTGTGCGTGTGCTTGTGTAATTGTCCAGTCCTGCCATTTTATTCTGCAGATACAGTAAATTAAATTTAAAAGACAGCACAGATGCATATATATATATATATATATATATGAGCTGACAGAATAGAATGGAGGGCTGCTGATGCATGTTGCACAGAATATATATGTACTGTATATATGTATGTTAACCATGTGTCTTCCATGGTGTCTGTGTGCATATCAGTGCTTCTTTGCATCTGTTGACCTGTTCTTATTTTGCACAAGTTGTACTGAATGTGTTGCCTTCTCCATCTTCTGTGTGCACTGTTGCATTAAGTTTACTGATATTGATTCGGGACTTTGCTACCTCAAAAGTAAACAGTTAATAACTGTATTTTAATGTGTTAATCTTTCTCCCTTTCTCTCTCTCTCTTTCTGAGTGCTAAAGACTTGAAAAATGAAGGAAATTATGCTGATTGTTTAACTCTTCAATCATGTTTTTGCTTCTTAGACTAGTGAAGAGGAATCTTGATTAACAACCTTGTCCTAATATTGGTAAAACAAAAATAAGGGTTCTTTGGGCTGTGAAAACCTATTCTAATATTTCCCCTGGATAGGTGGAAACTGTTGTCATAGTAACCCACAATCTGAATCAACAAAAGAGGTAGCTGATAATGTTGATGGTGACATGACTAATCTGTATTCTCTTTTCTCTTCTTTCCCTACTTTTTCAGTTTTCTTTACATCTGTATCCATTTATTTTCATGTCTTGGGGTTCTTGGTAAAACGAGTATTCATTTTTCTCTTCCATCCCTATTTTCTCTCCATGCATTCTTCATTTGTGCTGTGACTTAGTGTGAAGGATTACTCTTGCAAGAGAACAGTGGGTTTTGAATCATGTTATATGTACCCTCTCAGATACCAGGCCAAAACATTACAAAAAAAAATCCTTATTACACACTGAATGGCAACAAGTGTGTTTGACGCAATCCTTTATTATTGCCGTCCATGATGCCACACCACGTGAAATTCATGCAAATATTTTGATACGCAGTCGTTCGCAAAGAGACCGCAACGTGTCAAAAATAAACAGTGCTATTACTTCCATGACAAGCCTTCTGCACTGGTGCAGCTTGGACTCGCTGCAAGAAAAAAGAGAGGAGCAAGTGCAAACAGGGAAGTCACTCACAGATGGACGCAGATTCACCGTCCAGCCCGGGTTGTTTGTGATTAGCTGTTTGTTCTTGAGGATTTGGAATTTTTTTTTCCTCTCCCGGGTAACCATGGCAACCTGAATACAATATAGGTTTCTGAGCCCAGCAGACATCTCTCTATTGGAGAACAGCAGCGATCGCCTCACTTTTCAAGGCTGAGTGCAGCAGAGAGCCGCCATCGAGTTAAAGCCCATGATTCTCTTACCATTCACCGCCAAGCCAGTATCACAGATGCTGCTTCTTCATTCTCCTCCCCTTTATGTTACTGAACTTAAGGATTCCATCTGAGGGGTAAAGGACTTTGTTACTCACACTGTCATTCTAAAATAGCTTGAAAAGTGATTTTTTTTTTTTTTGGGCGGGGGCATCAAAGGCAGAAGCAACGCAGGGGCATCCTTACCCATTGAAGCTTAAATGCAATGTCAAGCCAGTGCCTGTGCACAGCTTCCAGTGTGCTGTCAGTGAATGACGGTCTGGCAAGATGAATAAGCAGCACATTCAGTTTAACCCTAATGCTTTTCCATTGTACCGAGAAAATTTTCTCCTACACCACGTGCAATATAGTATAAATAATTAAAAAACATAAGCCTCTTGCTGCATTTTCCGCTGAGAAATTTTCAATATACTGTACGATTACATTCCTGCATAATTTGGCTCACTTATGAAATTTTTTTGTCATTTTTCTGAAGTGTCTTCAAATTAAAAGAAAAAAAAATGTGTGGTGATGTTAAATGCAGATTACAGTGGCAGAGCAGCTGGTATCTGGGAGGGCTTTGCTTAGTGTCTATGCATTTTGTTGAGCCTTGCCTTGAGTGGAGACTGCCAGTGAACGTCTTAACGGTGGCCACTCTTGCAGACATCCGAGACACCGGTGCCAAACCCGTGATGGTCTACATACACGGCGGCTCTTACATGGAGGGTACGGGGAACATGATCGACGGCAGCGTTCTGGCCAGCTACGGCAACGTCATCGTCATAACGCTGAACTACAGGGTCGGAGTCTTGGGTAAGTGCGGCCTCTTTCTCTCCAAGCTTCTGAGGCAAGAGAAGCAGTTTTGCTTCATGGTATTGGTGCATCCTGGGGTGTTGTGGTGTGTGAAGCAGATGTCCCCATTGGGACGTCTCTAGAGAGAGTGTCGATTCTGTGATTTTGCTCTTTAAGAATCATTTCAAGTCTTTACTTTGTTTAATTTAAAACATAATAAGACCCCACGTATTTATTTTAACGTAAATTACTGTATGAATACATTTTGAGATGAGGGAGAAACACAGAGTAGGAGGGTATTACTGAGTGTGGAGAGTGATCCAGTGAGAGATAAATCTCATCACTGAATCCATGGAAACGGCTGCAGCAAAACAAAATGGAGCTGGTCATATCATCGCAAAGCACATGTCACTGCAACTCCACTGCCTCTATAAATCAAATTTGCATGCTCAGTTATGTGGATTGTTTTCCCTTCTTAGTCCCCGTAGTCTCTAAATGTCAAACATAAGTTGTAAAATGGATGAAAGTGGATTGTACATTAGTATTATCGCCTGAAATAAAACAAGCCTTCCCACAGTTTAGATTTTAAGCACTTACACTGACGCCAATGTTGCATTTTTTCCCTCAAAGTCAAACTTTATATTTTGCATTACTGCACATTATTATTTCCATGCCAAAGGTCTGGCCCTGTCCAGCAGAAGTGCAGTTGGATCTGTCTTGGTCTTCCTATGACTTTCTCTTTTCATTATGTTTCATTTATTCAAGCAACTACAAAACTTCTGTTAAGTACAACTGAATGAAGTAGTGCTCATTTAAATACAGTACATTGACCAGATTTTGATAAACATAAGGTCTTGCTTTCATCAGTATGTATGTCTTAAGGGAAATAAGTCTTCCCATATGAAGACTGTTTCATTTAAAGGTGCATTATTTTTTCAGAAAGAATTAGAAGTTTAACATGTGGTAAACGCAGTTATGATTGTAGTTCTGCAGTAATGACTGTTTAATTTTGCAACATTCAGCCATTTTGATGAGTAAAAAGGCAGTCTCTAGGCAGGAAATCACAGAATTCATTATTAAGATTATCAGAAAAGTTTTTCTGTTAGCATCCCTGCAATATGACAAATGTTTCACCATCATTATTCCAAACTGAGGCTTTGCGCTCAATTTTAAACGTACAAAATGTGAACATTCTGTGTCATTCAGGTTTTAAGGGAAAGAAAGAGACAATAGTGTGGAGTCTTTGAGGGGATGTAACAGAATAGAGATAAACTCCATTCCAGACGTACTTCATCTTGGCTTCTTTTATACTGTCCGTATATGATTTTCGCTTACAATGCATAAATTTAAGATTGTTACACACACACACACATACGCACACACACACACACACACGCATACAGGTTTATAATTATATCTTTGTGGGGACTCTCCATTCATTTCTATGGGGAAAACGCTAATCCCAACATGACAACCTTATCTCCTAACCAGCCCTAACCTTAAAACTGAAAAATGGTCCCCACATCGTCAAAAATAACAGGTTTTATTACATTGTGGGGAACATTTGGTTCCCACGATATAATATAAACCTAATCCACACACACACACACACCAGACACAGACACACACACACCTATTTAAATGGGGACCTTCCATTAATTTCTATGGGAAAAACCCTAAATGACCTTGTCATTTGGTCAGGTCTAGCCTAAGCTCAGGATGTCCAGTCAGTGTGCCTGTGTGGTTTAGATATCTCTGTGACTGCCCAGTGCCATTTTCGTTTTCTCTACATTCTCATCCGCTCAACTTGAAAAAGTATCTTTGTCTATAAGCACCGCTTAACACAAAAATTAGCTCTGATGATCTTCTTCTCTCCTTTCAAATAAGCAATAATAAATAGTCATCATTGACAATTTCATTCTACCATTTCCAGGTAAGACCTCACAGTGAATCCCTTTGACTAAGGTCTTCCTAGTAGAATTGTATCATATTGTATATAGAGGAACCTTCTATGTACTAAATCACACATACAGTTTCCATTTGAGCAAAGTGCTCCAAGGAGAAAAAACATTAACATAATTTTACCCCCATCAAGTCGTAGAAGAAAGAAATGTTGTATAATAATCTTCATTGTTATGCTGTGGTTTTAATAGCATTGCCTTGGGATTGTATTATTTAAAGTCTACAGAGGTGGAAATGATGACTTTAAGTAATCAAACACAATACAGCTTTTTTGTGGATGATGCAGTTCTTAAATTAAAAGACCCTAAGAGTCAATTTCTACCTTTTTAATGTAGCTTGGATGTGACTACATTTGGGATATTAAGATTCAGTTGAAATATTGTGGATATAATTAAATATGATAAATCATCAGTAATATAGGCTTGATATCATGTGGAATGGAATATAATTTTGTTCTGCTGGCCTTTTTTGGGAAGGCTATTCCATCCAAATTCTCTTTTTGGTGGATTCACCAAACCCAAAGAACAGATTTGATTCGATTATATGTACTGCCCAGACCTTGTTTGTGTTCTGTCCGTGTCTGTGATCGATTGAAAATCTATGTTACAGCTTTTTGTCCTTAAGGATCTTACAAGAAAACTCGATTTACATTCAAAGCAAGATTTACAATTTATAGCCTAAAAAATTTCAATAAATAATACAACACCATTGGAAGAAGGAGAAGTTTTCTCTTCTTTTTTAATTAGGCAGCTTAAAAGGTTGACAAAAAATAATTGAAGCTGAGAGAATTAGACAAGATAATGAATAGAGAATGAAAGTAGACAAGGCAACTGTATCGATGCTCACTGACACTAATACAGGTCTCCATTTTCTCTCAACAATCTTGACAATGCATTAATAATAAAACAAAAACTGAAATGTACAGATAATGACTGTGTGGTACTTCATCTGGCTTTGTTAACTGTTTGAATAAATCATAGAGTTGTTTATTTTTCATCCTGATTAGGCAGTGAGGATAGAGTTTATTAAAATGGAGAGATTATCTGTGTATGTTAATGTAAAATTCTTTGTCTGAGTAACTCTTTGAATTTCATGCATTTAGTAATAAAAAGATCCGGGTTAGAAATACACTAAAGGTAAAAAAAAAAGAACCAAGAATTGTAAAACACAGTTTTTACCTGAACTACAGATATTCTATTGATGTTTCTCATAAATTGTAACGGTGGGTTTCATAGTCATTTAAATTTTAATAGCAATTAATTGTTTCGTCACGTTGCAAAGAGCCATTTTCCCTATTTGGAATTTTTCATACATACAGACCAGCAGTCTCTCCATATTCAGAAGAACTGGAATTCATTACAGGTTTAATATTCAATTAGGAATGGTGGAAGACCAGAAGGTTTTCCCTTGAGGACAACATAACCAAATGGGGAGTGATTACTAGGGGTGATGTTACTTCCAAATCAGCAGGTGTGACTGGTTTGAGTCTTAGGCCCAGTGAATTCAGTTTGTTTACAAAAGGCCAGCCTTGTTTGTTACTGGTCCATTGATCGGTGTATGCATGAAAATGGCAAGAATGAGGCCCCATTGCAGTGTTTCTTTAATGATGTGTAATGAGTCCTAGGCAAAGGGGAGTATCTTGTATCACTGCTCTTTACAAATATAATTACTCATTCACTATCTAGAGCACGTCAATTTCCTAGTCCTATGGGGAAGACTTAATTACTGCTTCCAACTGCACTGAGAATTAATAAGGTCTTCTTCTATTGCCAAAAAACAAGGTGAGACTTCCTTGTGGAACCAGCTGTTATGCCAAGTATTGTTTTGTGGATTTGTTCGATCTTATGTTAAGATCAGTCTTTTGGCTAAATTCAGATAGCCCGTATTTTATAATTTATGTCCAACTGCATCTGTAATATCGAGCTATAATAATTGGATATCATTATCTCATTTCATTGCTGTCTTATCAATTTTGACTTGGCAGAAATAATTATATAAGTAGATGATTGAATTTTTCTTATGATTAACCTTACAAAAATAATCCTAGACCAGGGTAATTACCTACACATATATATAGGAGATTCCGCTGCCCTTTTGGAAAGGGAAAATATGGACCCAGTACATTTTGAAATGGCTCTAAATTGATGTTGACTACCAAGGTCATTGCAGAGATTGCAATATCATTAAACTGTAGATTTATAAAAAATGATTATGTATAAACTTTAATTAAAATAAGGATGGGGTGAGCAGATGCAGTAGGCTGAGAATCCTTTATCACACTTTTATGATTGCAAAAGCCTTGTTACAAGTACACTCAGAGGTTGAGAAAAGAAAAAAAAACTGTCCATTGCTTCATTATTCTGTTTATAGGAGAAGATTCTTTGTGTACGTTTATGTTACTCCCTTTATGTGATTGGTCAGTTGATTCTATGTGTTGTGTGTTTATAGTATTTTTGGAGTACTGTTCATTTAGCTGCCTGGAGCCCAGGTGCATATAATACCGTTACTACACCTCCTTTCCTCCTCACTCATCCCCCCGACGATTTTCTCAGCTTCATCTGAAGGATCTCCTCGGCTCCTGTCTCTCAGAACGCGTTCCAGTCCTCAGCATCTGTTCTGTCTGCTCTCTAAGGGTGTCACTTAACTTCTGCGATGTGAATCTTTCCCGAGACTGCACATCTGGAGTGAGTTTTCACCCTGTACAGTCTCCCCAGCATGTCCTCCATACCAGCCATGTTTTCTTTATCGATACATACAGCATGTCCCAGTGGGCTGTCCTCACCATCACAATTAATGAGACGGGCCTTGGGATTTTGAGTCATGATAACGACACATAATAGCGTGGCACCTTAATTTCCATTTTTCTCTGTTTCTACTGTACTGTAGGAGGCATTCTGTGTTTGCACTGTAATATAATGTGATGTTGTTAGGTGTTGTCTTCATTCCCGCCCTCCATTCCAGCCACACAAAGAGGGAAAAAGGAACAAATAGCCTGATAGAAATGAAAATGAATAACAGTCTGGGCGCCCACTGTCTGCCATTTCCATGCTGGAAGCTGA